AAAAAAAAAAAAAAAAGCTTCCTGGCAAAGAATGGGATTGAGAATCATCTTGTCTCAAAAAGACACTGGGAGATTTACATACAAAGATTATGCATTATTTTCCCATTTATTATAGTGAAATTCTGGAAACCACCGAAGAGTCTACCCACAAGGAAAGGTGAAGCGAACAGGCACGTTAGGAATTATGGGCTATAAAACTAGAAAATGTTATGACTTTGACTTTGAAGGGTCGTTGAATGTGCCACCTCAAAGTATGCTTCTTGAGCATAAGGATTATTTTGAGCTGATTATTTTTAAGAAACCGCAGACAGAGACGATCTTTTGTCCTTCTTGTAAGGGACAATTACATCTATGAAAGAAAGCTCCATATGTACAGGTGTCTCCCTCCTGTACCAGAAAGAGAAGGATGGCTCTGAATTACAAAAGAATCTTATCAACAGAGGAGGCACCAACTTAAATCTACAGGACAACCATACCCTTTATTATACTTTTCCTGCTAATTTCCCATAAAGGGCTTCTCCCTCAAAACATCTTTCTTTTGCCTTTAGTTGAAGATGATATTTAAGATGGTGGCTTGGGCCATTTGGGGGAGTTTTATTCAGTATCTGGGTATTTCCCCTGTATATGTGTTACTAAACTTCTGTTTTGTTTTTCTCTTGTTAATCTTTTGGTATGAGAGGTGGAGGGTCTCAGCCACAGAACCCAGAAATGGATAGAGATTATTTTCCCTCCCCTACAACGTCACAAGTGAAAAAAAGTCGAAAGTAAAATTTAGTGTGATGTATGATTACAACTATGTTTTAAAAATACCAATGCAAGGAAAAACTTAGAAGAAAAAACATCAGAATATTAACGCTGGTTGGAGGTGGGTGGGGCGGGGCAAGTGATATCTTAGGTGGCTTAGTTTTCTTCTGCTTATCTTCATTTTCCAAATGTTCTTTAATGAGAAATCATGTCTTACATAATGGAGTGGAAGAAGTTTTAAATAAATGTTCAGTGAGAATAAAGAGGTGTGACCCACTGTGAGGAGTTGAGGGGAAAGTCTGAGACCCCTATCCTGGGGGCGGGGTGCCGTGGAGGAGGATGGAAAGTGCCTCCTCCAGCTAAGAATGAGGTGAGAAGAAGAGAGAAGCCCCTAGGACAGTGATGATCAGAGGAAAAGATTACTCTGCCTCAGAGAAGGTGGTTTGAGGGTGGAGTAGCTTTAGAGTGGGCGAAGCTTGGGAGGGGAGAGTAATGACTGCCAGGCTTCAGAATGCATCCGTGCCCACCCCCTCTCCTTTAAGCCAGTTCAAACGGTGAAATAACTAGACTTAGCCCCCCTTTTTAAACCAGTGACAAAACTGAGCCCAGGAATCCCAATAGATCTGGAGTCTGGACCCTCAGTAAGACCTTTACCAAACCCACGCACAGAAAAAGGCTTTGCCTCATGAGCTCAACTAGCAG